AACTACTCGCTTGTTTCCTACCACCTGGCTTTATATTCTCCCCGGTGCTTGCGCTTGGTTTGGGCGTAGCAGTCTATGAAGAAGCGCTGACCTGGAATATGGCCGCAGGCGTTGTGGTAATCGTCTCCGGACTGCTGCTGATGAACTTCCCTGCCCTGATAAGGAGATGGCTGCATCCGCAGAGTCCGTCTTTAAGGCGAGAATGGGAAGCGGCAAAGGATTAAAATGGAACACACAAAAAACGCGGCCGGCCGGAATGCTTTCGCATTCTGGCAAGGGACCGCGTTTTCCGTATTTTTCAGGAGATAAACCCTAGACTTCGATGACAATCGGGAGAATCATTGGCCTTTTTTTGGTCTGGCCGTATATGAATCTGCCGATGTTGTCTTTTAAGGTTTGTTTGATATCGTTCCACTGGCTCCGCTCGGCCTCGTTCAAACCGTTCATCGTGGTCAATACGAGCTCCTTGATCTGATTCATCAGCTCTTCCGATTCGCGGACGAATACGAAACCTCTCGAGATTACTTCAGGATCAACAACCATCGTTTTTTCGGATTTGCTCAAGGTAGTCACAATAATGATCATGCCGTCCGAAGACAAATGCCTGCGGTCTCTGAGCACAATGTTGCCAACCTCTCCAATGCCCAGACCGTCGACAAAGCTGTTCCCTGAAGGAACCTTTGGTCCCAGCATAGCTTGTCCGCGTTCAACCCGGACCGTATCTCCGTTATTCACGATAAAAACGTTATCCTTATCGATGCCTACGGATTCGGCCAGCAGCCTGTGCTGATAAAGCATCCGGAATTCGCCATGCACCGGAATCAGGTACTCCGGCTTCATAAGCGTAAGCATGAGCTTCAGCTCTTCCTGACTGCCGTGCCCCGAGACATGCATGCCTGTAGAGCTGCCAGAACCGTAAATCACCTTGGCTCCAAGCACATACAAATTATCGATGACATGGGCAAGGTTGCGCTCGTTGCCTGGAATCGGTCCCGCTGCAATAATTACCGTATCGCCCGGCAAAATTTCGATCTTCTGATGTTTGGAGCTGGCCAGTCTGGATAAAGCTGCCATCGGCTCTCCCTGGCTTCCCGTACATAACACCGCTATTCTTTCTGCCGGGTAACGTTCGGATTCCTCAGGTTCGATGATCAATCCGTCCGGTATCGTCAAATAACCCAATTCCTCTGAAACGCTCACCACGTTAACCATGCTCCGGCCAAGCAGAATAAGCTTCCGGTTTGTTTCCACAGCCGCATCAATCACCTGCTGCACCCGATTTACATTGGATGCGAAGGTCGAGATAAAGACCTGCTGTTTGGCTCTAATAAATGCATCCAGCAGATGTTCCCCAACCTGCCGTTCGGAGGGCGTAAACCCGGGGCGCTCCGCATTGGTGCTCTCGGACAGGAGCACTTTGACGCCTTGTTTTCCGATTTCCGCCATCCGGTGCAGATCCGGATAAGGGCCGCTGACAGGAGACATATCAAATTTAAAATCTCCGGTATGCACCACGGTTCCTTCCGGCGTTTGGAAGCAGATGCCCAGGCAGTCCGGGATACTATGATTGATAGCAAAGAAAGAGGCTTCGATTCCCCCGGCTTGAACGGTAGAATCCGCATGAATGGTATGAAGCTCGGCCGTTTTAAGCAGCCCGTGCTCCTTCAATTTGATTTTGATCAAACCGAGAGTCAGTTTGGAAGCGTAAACAGGAAGATTCAGCTGTTTCAGCAGATAAGGAATGCCGCCGATATGATCTTCGTGTCCGTGTGTGACAATCAAGGCGCGCACCTTATCTTGGTTTTCCAGTAAATACGTAATGTCGGGAACAATGAGATCGATACCGGGCAGGTTTTCGGTTGGAAATTTTGAGCCGCAGTCAATGACGACAATGTCATCGTTGTACTGAATGAAATACATGTTTTTCCCAATCTCATTAACGCCGCCCAGCGCCGCGATCAGCAGTCCGCTTTCAGCCGTTTTCAACTTTAGGGGCCCTCCTTGGATATCGGTAAGGTGGTGGAAACTACCCTTTAGTATTGGAAAATCGCCCGAAGTTATGCGTTCTAGTTCATGCTTTCTCAGATTTAGGACATACTACTTCCGCAGCTAAAAAACATAACAAAGGAGCAAAACAATGGGCGTTTTGGACGGTAATCCCAAACACGAGCCGCTTCATTACGGAGAGGTTTATACGCTGTGGGAAGCTTCCATGGGAGCAAAAGGCAGCTTGTCCTGCAATACAGCTTTTCTGTATCATGCCGGGGACAAGGAACTTAAGGAGCTCCTGGAGGAGCTGATCGATCAGTGCAAGAAGGAAATCAAAGAGCTGGACGAAATTCTGCTTAACAACGGAATTCCGCCTGCGCCGATGCTGCCTGAACGGCCTGAAGCCAGGCTTGAGGACATTCCGCCGGGAGCCCGATTCACAGATATCGAAATCGCGGCCAAGATGGCCATTGAAAACTCTGCGGGCCTGGTAGGCTGCAGCACGGCGATGGGTATGTCGATCCGGGAAGATATCGGCGCTCTGTTTGGTAAATATCATGCGAAGAAAACGGCTTTCGGACTGAAAGTCCTTAGACTCGTTAAAGAAAAAGGCTGGCTGGTTCCGCCTCCGCTTTTAATCAAAAATCCGGAATAAGACCCCATCTTCAGACTCCTCCCGCTCTCCGAGCGGGACTTTTTAAATTCCGAACAACGCCCGGACTCCCTGGAAACCAAAATAAACGCCAAATCCGACAAGCGACAAACCGGATATGAAGGAAATCAGCATCAGACTGGTATCGTTAAGCAGTCGTCTAAGCCCGGTTGTAAGTCCAGCCACAAACAGGTCCCATATAGCCAAACCCAAAAAAATCATGCTGCTGTAAATCAGCAGGTGGCTTGTCCCTTGCGAAGCGGCCGTTTTGGCTAAAATAGAGCCGTAGATCCCGAGCCAGAACAGGATGGATAAAGGACTTGTAATCGACATGAAGAAACCGAGAAGAAACAGCTGCTTAAAGAGTCCCTGCTGCTTCTAGCAGA